AAATTATCTAAATCAAGTTAAAGATTACCATATATATACATATATATAATATTTATTCACATTTATATTCTTAATGTTTTGAAAGAAGCCAAGTATCAGTTTTCAGGCTTACAGGCTTATCTATGGGTTTAACTTAGACGAGCGGCTTTCTCTCCATTATACTTATCCTAAGCCTTTTTAATGGACATGTGATATGCTAGTCTGTGTCCAAGCTCACCTACAATTTCTTTTCTCAACAGACAAGGCACATCTGCCACCTGCTCTACTCCGTGTCCCAGCAACAACTGTCGAGCAGCATAAAGATTGATTATCAGTCAAAAACCATTGCACAACACCAGATTTTGGTGGGTTAAGCTTGCTGATCCAGCAAGAGATGGTGTGAAATTTTCAGGAGTGTGTGCCAACATTTTGGTGCTAAGAGAACAGCAGTGCATGTCATAGTGAAATACAGCCAAAGATATGCAGACAAAGCAGAGAAGTTTTTTGTTCTGGGCTTGGCTTTAAAAAGGATAAAAGAGAAAACAAAAAGTAGGGGGAAATTAGTTTGTACATTTAAAAATCATCCACCAAGCTTAGTCATGTGTGTAACGTAATTTTGGGCATACACGTCCAGGAGATTTTCTAAGAAGCTTAGCTATAAATAATTTTTATATATCTCCTCTATAATACCATTATCAAATAAAAGGCAAGTATTTCTTATTAATAAAAATAATTAAGAATCTTAAGGCAGCATTTATTACATATATATCTGAAAATAAAAAAGTCACAGAAATATTTACCCACAAACACTCATGCTTTTATGCAAACAGATGATTCAATGAATACAAAATATTTTAAAGTTAAAGCAAAATTTGAAAACTATATGGGTCTACAATATTGCACAGGTAATTTTTACTGAGTATGTAGCAACAAGTTGCTTTACAAAGACCAAATTACCTAAAACTTTCTATGGAATTCAAGAAATTATTTATTTCCTGGTGATCAAGTATTATCGGAGATAGAAAGCCTAGTATCATTTTATATAATAACGTTAACAGAGGAAGAGTTTTCATCACCTCATTTGTAATGAACTCCAGAATTACCTTTCTTCTGCTTATGCAACTACTGCCTAGACTTGCCTTTGGTTCACCAGCCTTATAGCAGCTGCAGAGGAAAATACTTCTAATAAAGTATAAAGGCATAGGGGAGTCCAGCAGTCAGACACACTGAATCTGTATGGCAGAGTCCTTATGTCACTTAGATGTGATCACCATACACAGCACTTGGTAACAGACGTCGGGTATGACACGGTTGGAGGAATATTCTTAGATAGTGGTACTTTTATTTTCTCTTAAAATGCATTCTTTCCCACTGAAGAAAGAAAAATGTTTGGTTTTTTTATTTTAAAAAATCTCCACATTTCTGAAATGTTAGAAACAATACACTTTTTAAAAAGACCTTACCTGAAAATATGTCTAAAATATATTTATTTATATTTTGCATATATAATTAATATTATGTATATATAAAAAATATACATATACACATTTCAAGTTAAAAAAAAGTCAAGCTGCAGCATTTAACCTCATGAAAAATTTTATTAGGAAAATCACACATATATATAAAAATTATATGTTCATTACTGGCCACATTTTCATAATTATGTCAATGCCATCTGAAAAAAAGACTAAGAGTGTAAATGAATAAATGATACTTGAAACTTTGAACTATTTTCTGAGAGAATAAGCCTAATGAATTATGTCTGTTGGGTGTCACAGAAACTAAACAGTGAATTCAATAATCTCTGATTTAATTTATTATATTTTCACCATTTAACCTCCTGCAGGCTCCCTAATGTCTATTCAGATCTATATTAAATTAAGCATCAATGCTAATGAAGGGCAATAAACGTGGCTGTCAGTGGATTTTTCTTTCATTAAGCACATTATCCTCTTACTGAGCTGTAAATGCGTAAACATTAGTTTTGTTAAACCATGCAAAAAAGACAGGATGAAAATCATTTTTCAATTGCACCCCTTAAGCAACTTACTGTGTGTGGGGGTAGGGTATTTTTTTTTCCTTTTTACCTTTAATTTTTTTGAATGGATCTGAAAACGGCTCGCCCGCTGAAACATAAACGTCGGCATCACGGGGTATGTCTTCAGGCTTGAGGGCTTCAGAGCCGTCTGCCAAGAACACTCGTCGCGCGGCCACGCGCAGCTTCAGCTTCTGCGTGCACTCCTCCAGCAGCTGGAAACACCAAGAGGTAAGAGACAGTGATCCACGGCAGAGCAACATATTTCCACCAAACAAAAGGTGCTAACCATCAGAACAGAAACCCACTGAGTCACTTGCCAACCTAAGTAACTCAAGTAATTCCACCAATATGGTTATTTTCTAGCAGTTGAAAATACATAAATAAAAGGTAAATCACAGCACTGAGAAAATCTAATGATTGTCTAATTTTAGTCCTTAAATGTTCTGTCAGTTTAATAACTCTACAAGATAAAAGTCATTGTATCTGTTTAATTAAATATAATATTTATATATTGATAAAAAAGGAAAGGAAGGAAATGCCTATGAGATCTATGTATATATAAGCAATTTACAGATGCAGACTACTAAAAAGATAATTTTAACACAATAAATGTCCTCTTTCTCATTTTTTATATTATAAAGAGAATAAGAGAAGAAACAAAGCACTGAAAACTTCTGAACACTAGTTACCAAGGTGATGGTTGGTACAGTAACTTTGGCAAAGACTGTTCTAGATCCATTTTTGTAAGCTGTTACTTGAATCACTCTGGGTTGAAGTTTGTGTCTTTGAGATAATCCATGCCAATTTTGGGCCGACTGAAATTTTAAAGAAGAGAACTCTGCAACTCTGAAGAAAAAACACAAAAAATGGGTGCATGTTAATTAGCAAAAAGATTTAAATAAATATTATTCTGGATATATTTTACTGATATAAGTCCTAATGATTGTTCCTAAGTATTCCTCAAAAAAGCTTTTTACGGGATAAGATTGTCCATATCTACTTAAATATTTTTAAAAAATTAATATAGGATAAGTTTGCCTAAACTGTTCATATATTTAAAATATATATCTCAGAATAACTCATTTTTATCATTTTACTTATAAAACATCACAACACTCAATTTTTTAAATTACATATACATATATATATAAATGCTATGTTCTGATAGAGAGCTAAAAATAGTAATATGGTTTTAACATCATGAAATAGTAAATGGCTAAGATTTTCCCTTTAGTTTTCATGTTTATCAAAGTTCTTTGATTTTTAAAAAAGATTTGAAATTCAAATAGATTATAACTAAATTTTTATTCTAAAGTTAGTGGCAATTGCTTTCATTTCAGATTGTTTGGGAGTGGTACAAGAAGATTTCTCAGTTTTGCCTTCAGTCAAAACCAGTTTCGAACCTTATGATTTTTTCTGCAAAGGTTCCTGGTAAAAGACTAATGTGTCCATTTCTTACCTGGGAGCTCTGACTAACCCTGCTCATTCTCAAGGCCACAGGAGCAAAGTAAACATGTTAAAGCAAAAACTTTAGGTGAACTAAAATCACAATATATCCACCTATTCAAACATATGAAAATAATGGGAGTATCAGTTTCTCGGTTTGATTTCTGTTTTTACCAACATTTTCTTCTATCCATAAACTCTTAGGTCAACAGTTTATGATAACAATCTTGATGTGAAAACATATACACAAAATGGTTTTATAATAAGTTCATTTCAATTAGATTTTCTTTCGAAATATTGGTTAAATAACAAAAGTATTTCTATTTTTAAACACATATCCAGTAAGCAAAGATATTTCATGGTCTAGCCTGATTCTGCTTCAAATATTCTTCTCAGAATTTCAGATTTTCCCAGTTGAAGTGTATCTCATGTTTTCCACGTAATTAGTAACATTCTACTCTAGTGGTTTCAAAGAAAATAAATAAACAAAACAAAACCAGAATAAAACCCTAGAGATGTGTTACGTTTGAATTGAATCAATTGAATCCTTATAAATTCTGCCCACAGGAAAGAGCTTCAACTGTCGGTGAGAAAGAACAGAGAAGAGCTTTGATTACCTCAGTTGACCCACTGGAGCACTGACAGGTCTGTTTCTCTTGGATGCTGATACAAAACAAGAATTGTTTTTACTGTTTGATTTGTAGCTATCTAGGTCTGATGTTTCATCCTGGCTGTGATCTGACACTGTTTGATGTGTGGAGCAATCTTGAAGTCCTGACCCTTCTGATACTGCTGCTGAATGTAAAAGTCTGTTGGGGCCAAACTGAGGCTGCAAATAATCTTCAGTACTTTTAATAACTGCTTTTGCCTGGGATGACGTACACCCCCTGAAAGAAATAATGCATGAAATAATACAGTGAATTGTCTTGTAATCACTTATTAACAACTACCACATAATAATTAGTTGTGTGCACTTAGCCATTATTTTGTTTAATCCTTACAATATCCCTTGGAAATGGGTGCTATTTTTATCCCCATTTTACAGATTTAAGAAATTGTGGCTCAGAAAGGCGAATTAACTTGCCCAAGCTCACATAATAGGCAAATTGGACAGGGTGGGAAATTGAACCCAAACCTGCCCTAAAATAAAACCCACATTAATAACCATCAGGATTAATTGCTTTACTTAATTAAACTAAAGAAGAAAGCTTGTGTAATGCTTGAAACAATGTAAGTAAAATTTTTAAGTTTTTAGATTCATTTATTAAACACTAGCATTCTGCTAAGTATTAGGAAATAGAAAAATTAAAGAGATGTGTCTCCTACTCTCAGGAAACTTGCCAACTATCCCCTAATAAAGAGAGAATATATGTTAAATAAACTGCTTAGAACTATGGATGTGTATTAACTTTAAATGCACAAAGAATTCCTGGAGGGCAAGCTTAGTGTGGCTGGAATAAAGTTGGTCAGGCTTCGCAGCAGACCAGGGACTAGGTGACTAACTCATCCATTTTGCTCGGGACTGGTCTGGCTTTGGCACTGAAAGTCACACATTCCAAGAACTCCCTCAGTCTTGGGCAAACGGGGACAGTTGGTCACCCTACCTGGTATTTAAGCTAGAGGAGTAGTATTGAGATTGTCAACAAAAATATCTGGTATATAAGAATTTAGTTAGAAAAGCTTTATTGCAAACAGGGGAGACACAGCGCAGCCTGCAGAACAAATCAGAAGTACACTCCAGGGAGGGCATGGGAGGGAAGAGCTTACAAAGGCAAAAACCCCACAGACCACAGGGATTGTTTCAAGAGCCCTCTCATTCATTGGTTCCCCTATAGCTTCGGAGGTTCTAAAATCAGCTATATCAGAATCTTCTGGCCATCCATCAGGAAGGAACACTCAGTTTCAGGTGCAAGTCGTGTTTTTCCTGAGAACAGAGTACGTGACGGCACCTCGGTCCTGGCACAGCTGCTTGACTCTGTTTTGTTTTAGGTCCCAGTCAGCCACAAAGAATTCATCTTGGCTTTCTCTTTTAGGGGGTCCCCTATCTCTTGTTTTAATTCCATAAGATGAACTATGATGTTCGAACAGGGGACCATATGACCTGGGACGATCTGTAAATACCATGTTAGGAAGGCAGAATATGTACCAAGTTTGCTGGTATGATAAAATGAAAGGCTTGACATATTTGAGAATATTAAGCTGTGTGATGATTAGGCATAGAGGATAGTCAGTTTCCAAATCGGCCTCTTTCCAGTTTCCTAGTTGAATAGTTCTTATCCATCATATAATATAACCCCTTCACCTACTCAATTACAAAATATAGTACACTTAGTATGGAAGCTCGTCACAGACAGCCCTTCCTCCAAATTTTTTCTCATCCACAAATGTCATTATAATCATAATTATTTCTTCTGGCCTGCCCTCTATGTGTTCACAGTGTGTAAAATGGTTGATGCCTTCCTCTGAAAGAATGAAAGGTAGTCACATGCCACAGAGAAAATGGATGGTTAAGTGAGAGTTGACGCAGTGGGTCAACGGCACTAAAACACTGGGATGCAAGCAGTCGTATTTTGTTCTTGTTGTTGTCATCACATGTTTCTATCCGAGTCTGCCCTGGCCTGAGCACAGCACTGGGGAGAGGAGGGGCCTTTCCTACTCTCTGAGGATCCACCCAGGTTCAGAACTGAGGCAAACAGCGTCTTCAATGCATCACTGGGCTTTAGCTTGGGCAGAGATAGGACCTCCCTTCAGACCACCTGAACTACTCAGATTTTTTTTTTTTTGAGGTCATATTGGCTTGTAATATTGTGTAAATTTCAGGTGTACATTATTATATATTTCAGTTTCTGTATAGACTGCATCGCATTCACCATCAACAGTCTAGTTTTCATCTGTCACCATTTATATGTGCCCCTTTATCCCTTTCACTCTCCCCCCATCCCCTTCCCCTCTGGTAACCACTGATCTGTTCTCTTTATCCATGTGTTTGTTTATTTTCCATATATGAGTGAAATCATATAGTATTTGTCTCTCTGTCTGACTTATTTCGCTTAGCATAACACCCTCAAGGTCCATCCACGTTGTCGCAAAAGGCACGATTTTGTCTTTTCTTATGGCTGAGTAGTATTCCATTGTATATATACACCACATCTTCTTTATCCAATCATCAGTCGGTGGGCACTTGGGTTGCTTTCACATCTTGGCTATAGTGAATAATGCTGTGATGAACATAGGGATGCAAAAATCTCTTTGAATTGTTGATTTCATGTTCTTTGGATAAGTACCCAAAAGTGAGATAGCTGGATCATATGGTATTTCCATCTTTAATTTTTTGGGAAATCTCCATAGTGTTTTCCACAGTGGTTGCACCAGTTTGCATTCTCACCAGCAGCATATGAGGGTTTCCTTTTCTCCATATCATCTCCAACACTTATTATTTCTTGTCTTGTTAATTATAGGCATTCTGATGGGTGTGAGGTGATACCTCATTGTAGTTTTGATTTGCATTTCCCTAACAATTAGTGATGTTGAACATCTTTTCATGTGCCTGTTGGCCATCTGTATATCTTCTTCGGAAAAATGTCTGTTCATATCCTCTGCCCATTTTTTGATTGTGTTGTTCATTTTTCTGTTGTTGAGTTGCATGAGTTCTTTATATATTTTGGAAATTAACCCCTAGACAGATGTATGATTTGCAAATATTTTCTCCCAGTTGGTGGGTTGTCTTTTCATTTTGTTCATGGTTTCCTTTCCCTTGCAGAAGCTCTTTAGTCTGATTTAGTCCCATTTGTTTATTTTTTCTTTTGTTTCTCTTGCCTGAGTAGACATGGTATTTGAATAGATACTGCTAAGACTGATGTCAAAAAGTGTACAGCCTATATTTTTTTCTAAGAGTTTTATGGTCTCAGGTCTTACCTTCAAGTCTTTAATCTATTTTGACTTAATTTTTGTGTGTGGTGTAAGATAATGGTCCACTTTCATTCTTTTGCACGTGGCTGTCCAGCTTTCCCAACACATTTATTATACGACAAATCTACAGTAATCAAAACAGCATGGTACTGGCAGAAAAACAGACACACGGATGGAACAGAATTGAGAGCCCAGAAATAAACCCACACATCTATAGACAGCTAATCTTTGACAAAGGAGCCACGAACATACAGTGGAGAAAGGAAAGTCTCTTCAATCAGTGCTGAACTACTCAGATTTTGATAGCAGTGGTAAGTGGTGGCATGTGGCAGCAGTTGTGTCACAGCAGCAGTGCCTCTGCAGCAACAGCAGTGGAGCTGCACATGGTCACCAAGCTCTTCAACCCAGGGAAGAGCAGCCGAGAGGGAAGATCTGTGGGTCTCATAACAGTTCCCAGGGCCCAGAAACAACTACCTGGAAAGCGAATTCTCACGTAAAGAAAGAAAGGGAATTCTCTACTGAAATGCACAATGGGTGTCTTTCGTTTTTAATGAATGCATTTTGTTTATTGTCAAATATTTTTACAAATATACTAATGATTTTATGTAAAATTTATTATTCCACCACCACAAAGCAAAAGGTTATTATTTTTTCTATATTCCAAAGTTTCAGCCGTATCATACCTTTAAATCAATATTTTGCTTTTTTTACTTAACACTGTTTTACAACCATTTTTCAGACTGCTATATGGTCTTTATAGACTTGACCGGAATGTAATATTTTATCAAGTATATTTTGCCTTCCTCAACCTAGTCACATAGGGGTTATCTATTGTTTTCGTCTGATGGCATATCTTCCTCCTGCCTTCTGGTAACAGCACTTAACATTCTTTTGGGGAAGTCTCCATCACCACCCCTCCCAACTCCATATGATTATGGCAGAGTTAGGACAATAAATTATACGAGATTTATGTGTTAAATGGTAAAAAGAATAAAATTAAACTATATGGTTCTATCATATATTTATTTATTATCTGCTTTTTCTCTAGTCATTTATATATAAAAGGGGAGAAAGGGTAGTTTTCATGTGAAAAAGTCGCTATCGGCCCACCATCAGTAGTCTTCAGCTGTGATTTATTTTATCAACGTTGATGACAGGTTTGCACTAGTTCTTACACACTATCGAACTTTTCTTTCTTATAACAATTGATGTTTTTCCTAGTCATTGGGTGTGTGAGAGGATGATGACAGAACTTGCAAAGCTAACTTGTCCCACATGGGAATTAAACCCACACACTTCGTTTGTTAAATTAATGCTGGAAATGGGGGTGTTAGGATCATTCAGCTTTTGAGGAACAGACAGGCATTTGGGTTTCAGGTGATGGAGCTTATTACCAGGATACATTGCAAGTTATAAAAGGAAATAAAACCACTCCAGCAGGGCACAAAGAGATTTAGAAGACCGGTCATTGCCCTCCAGGATGTACTACTGACTTAACAACAACTCTAGTAGACTGCCACATTTTTTGACTCAGCAACCTCATCTCTCCTTCTGTGTCTCCCTGCTTCATCTTCCTACATCATTATTGCCCTCCTCCTCTCTCCTTATGGCTTCTGCTAACTTCCCCGCGTGTCTCCCCATTTCTATACCACACTACTTTCTGCAGACTCTGTCTATATGACTCGCATTCAATTCTCCCCAAAGTTTAATTTCATCACTACCCAGCATAGGACACCCCTGTTGGGTAGAACTCGAAAGCTAGGCAACCTCATAAGCCACTGGCAAGCCTGTGGATGGGAAAGTACCCACCAGTGGCCCAAAAAACTCTGGGTAGGACAGCAGGATAATAAGGTACAGAGGAGATAGAGTAAGACAGGCTCTCAAATCCCTCCCCAAAGAGGAAAACACGACTGGCAGGAGATTTGCATGGCCTAGTTAGTAGACTGAGACAAGCAGACACTTATATTGACTTATTGAA